TAGGACTAAAGCAAGACCAAATGGTGTTGGATTCACCCAAGTAAACTCTTTCTTGAACCCATTTTCTCCGTGGTTGGAATTTTGTATAGCTGACAAAATGTTTGGTAATGAGACAAACCTTTACCATTCATACTAAATCACTTTGGTCTTTCAGTACTTGCCAAAATATCATCACCATTACCCTATCATTCAACAGTTCTGTTTTTAGAACATGGTTTATTTTAAGAAGTTTAAAATCAGAACTTTTTGTTGAAAGCTGGAAGCTTTGCTGGATCTGTTAGTACAGTACATACCTACAATTAATCCTAGCTCTCAGGAAGCTGTGGCAGGATGATCGTAAATTCAAAGCTAACCTGAGTTATATATCAAGACCCTGTCCCAAGAATAAAAGAACTGGGCATTGGTGGTGCTCACCTTTAATCCCAGCACTACTCAGGAAGCAGAGGCAGGCAGATCTCTCTGAGTTTGAGGCCAGCCTGATCTATAGATCCTGCACAGGCTTCAAAACAAAACAGAGAAACCCTATCTTTAAAAACCAAAAGAGAAAAAAGAAAAGGAAAGAAAAAAAGGAAAAAGAAAAGAAAGATGGGGAGGAAGAGAAGAAATCAGTTTTAATTAGAAAACCCAGTGCTACCAAAAAAAGAAAATTGACAACCTTGTATCAAGTCTGGACACTTGATACAGAGTAGGGGTCTTGATTGGGTTCATTTTCTCTGCCAGTTAAAGAATTAAAAGTCAGTTAAGCTCTACTACAGAGATATAGTTCTGAAAACAGCCTGGTATTGGCACAAAAATAGACAGGTAGACCAATGGAATCAAATTGAAAATCCTAATATTAACCCACACACCTATGAACACCTGATTTTCGACAAAACAGCTAAAAGAATACAATGGGGTGAGGACAGCATCTTCAACAAATGGTGCTGGCACAATTGGATGAGGGTGTGTAGAAGACTGCAGATAGACCCATGTCTGTCGCCATGCACAAAACTCAAGTCCAAATGGATCAAAAACCTCAACATCAATCCAGCCACACTGAACCTCTTAGAAGAGAAAGTGGGAGGTACTCTTGAACAAATTGGTATAGGAGACTGCTTCCTGAACATAACTCCAGGGCACAGACACTGAGAGAAACAATTAATAAATGGGACCTCCTCAAACTGAGAAGCATCTGTAAGGCAAAGGACACAGTCGACAAGACCAAACAGCAGCCCACAGACTGAGAAAAAATTTTCACCAATCCTATATCCGACAAAGGGCTGATCTCCAAAATATACAAAGAACTCAAGAAACTAGTCACAAAACACCAAATAACCCTATTTAAAAATGGGATACAGAATTGAAGAAAGAATTCTCAATAGAGGAAATTAAAAGGCTGAAAAACACTTAAGAAAGTGCTCAGCATCCTTACCTATCAGGGAAATGCAAATCAAAACAACTTTGAGATACCATCTTACTCCTGCCAGAATGGCTAAAATTAGAAACACCAATGACGACTCATGCTGGAGAGGATGTGGAGAACAGGGAACACTCCTCCACTGCTGGTAAGAGTGCAAACTTGTACAGCCATTTTGGAGATCAGTATGGCGGTTCCTCAGGAAAATGGGAATTAGTTTACCAAGGACCCAGAAATCCCCCTCTTAGGCATATACCCAAATGATCCACATCCCTGCAACAAAGACATCTGCTCAACTATGTTCATAGCAGCATTATTTGTAATAGCAAGAACCTGGAAGCAACCTAGATGCCCCTCAATTGAAGAATGGATAAAGAAAATGTGGCACATCTACAGTACTCTGCAGAAAAAAATAATGGAATCTTGAAATTCGCAGGCAAGTGGATGGCACTTGAAGAAACCATCCTGAATGAGGTAACCCAGTCACAAAAAGAGGAACCTGGTATGTACTCGCTCATATATGGATTTTAGACTTAGAGCAAAGGATCACCAGCCTATAATTCACACCACCAGAGGAACTAGGACACAAGGTGTATTCTAAGAGATTCATATAAAGTCTCTCACAGAAGGGGGAAGGGACAAGTCCCCCAGAGCACAGGGGAAGTGGGGGGGGGGGGGCAGTGAATGGAGAGAGAAGTAGGAGAAAGAGAGGGGGAGGAGAGGAAAGCACGTGCGACTAGGAAGATTGAGTCAGGATAGGAATAGAAGACAGGAGAGATACACACACACACACACACACACACACACACATATATATATATATATATATACATATATATATATATGTATATATATATATATATATATATAGAGAGAGAGAGAGAGAGAGAGAGAGAGAGAGAGAGAGAACATAAAGGAGGGAGCCATTATTGGTTTGAAGAGAAAACTGAACCTAAAGAAAGGTCTAGAGACCTACAAGACTGCCACCAACTAACAATTTAAGCAACCATGAAAAGGCTACCATAAATGCCCTTCCCGGATAGTGAGATCAACAACTAACTTATCCATAGAGCCCTCATCTAATACCTGTTGGAAACAGAAGCAAACACCCATACCTAAACACTGAGTTGAACTAGAATCCAGATGTAGACGGAGAGGACAAGACCAGGTTGCAGAAACACATAGAGACAGCTTACCTGAACAAGGAGGAGCTAACGGCCCCCAGACTGATAGCTGGGAATCCAGCATAGGACTGACTCAGGCCCCCCTGAATATGGGTCTCAGCCAGAAGGACTGAGCAGTCTAAGGGACCTCAGACAATGGAGCCAGGATGTATCCCTGGTGCACAAAAGGACTTTGAGAACACATCCCCCATGGAGGGATAACTGCCTTAACCTAGAGACAGGAGAGAAGCCCTAGTCCCTACTTCAAATGACCTGTCAGATCTACATGATCCCAACTGGATGGCATTGCTCTACATGAGGAATTGGGGTGGGGGGATGGGAGGGGAGGGTGGTTAGAGTGCATGTGAGAGGGTAGAGAGGGTAAAAGGGAGGGAGGGAGGGGGAGAGAGGGGGAACTGGAATCGACATGTAAAATAATAAATTAAATTTTTAAAAATTAAATTAAAAAAACAGAAAAAAAAAGAATTAAAAGTCAGGAAAAATCTGGATGGAGCACAACATGTGGCAGCAGAGAAATCTTAAAGGCAGCAGACAAAATCAGCAATAGAAAAAAAAAAAAAAAAACTTGTTTATTGGGGGTGAATAAACCCATACACACAGCAGACATACAGAGAAAAAACCCTGTGCAAAGTGAATCAAAAACTGTGAACAACCTGTAAAATGCAAAATCCAAGCTATATGCTTCTGATATACAATGATGTGACAGACACATGGTGGACCGTCTGGTCCCAAAAAGTCAAAATAAGAGTGGAAAAATATCTCTTATTGGTGGGGGCTGAAAATCCTCTGAAGAGTTTTACTCCTTTAATGTTTGGTTGGTTGGTTGGAAGACAGATAGGATGGTTGATTGGTTTGCAACTGTAACATGTCCAGACCCAGCCTTGAACTTGTTGAACCAGTTCATCACAGGGGTTGGTGGAAAACAAAGGACTATAAGGTTTTTCTTTTAAGCAGTCAGACTCTTGTGAGGAAGATGAGGAAGAAGCTAGCTATCTTGGAAATTCACCACCTCTATAACCTAGCCATGGGCCCTCTCCTTATCTGTCTGCCTACTGGGGATTCCATCTAACTCTTGGTCTCACACTCACATAAGCCCACCAAAGTTTCTAGGCTTGCTCATGTCATGGGGCAAGACAGTGCAGAGGTTCCTCCATCTTGTATTTTTTGCTGAGGCCATTTCAGGTTTAACAAGAATGTGGTTGCCTTGATAGACAATCCCCACAGAAAATTACACAACTCCATTCTAGGACCCAAGGCCAAGATGTCCCAGAAACTTATCTTAGCATCTGTTAAATTGCTTGCTTATGCAAACCTCCCCAGCCGCTGCTGAGCAAGATACCAGGATATGGTTTTTACCTTTAAAAGTCCCTTTGTGTAAATGGTCCAGGCCACACTTGGGTCTCCGAATATGTGTATAGTCCCAGACAGCCAGAATAAAGATTTTCAATGGGATATAAATTGTCTGAGAGGTCATCTCTGGAGGGCACCAGGTAGCACTTGCACAATGCCTCCACTGCCTACCCCACCTCATTCCTGGAGCTGTCTGCTGCCTTCACCCCTTCCCTGGAATTCCAGTCACACAGGCCCCTTGTTAAGCAGCTTCCTCTCAGCGATCTCCTGTACCCCCTAACCCCTACCAACTCCTATCACTAGCCAAGAACCAGCAACTGTACTAACTCTTGCTTGGTACACAAGAGGAGGGTGTCTAAGGCTGTGAGCTGAGTTTGTTGTTTGTTTGTTTGTTTGTTTGTTTGTTTCCCCAGATCATATTAGAGTTTTCAAAATCATGCCACAAATGCTCCACCAACACAGATGTGAAAGGTCTCAGAAGTGAGGCTCAAGAGGAACAGTGAGAAAGATTGTGGAGGGTATGGCGTATATTAGAAGCATTATTTGCCATGGACAGACTGACAGAAGCAGAATGGTAGGGGCTCTGAGGAGAGTTCTGGGACAGACAGTGTAGTGTCTTCTTCTTGGAAGTAGAATTGAGGAAGAAGAGGAATTCACAGCATGAGACTGCAGCCAGGTCCTCTGATTTCCCAACAGGCATCAAGGAAGGAGATGGAGAGCAGGGTTTGTAGCCATCCACAGCCTTCCCCCAGGTGAGAAATCTGGGCACCTGGGAGTCATCAGCTAGGGTGCCACAGGCAATGCTCTCAATAGGTACCTGTCAGTATCTGTGGGTGGGGAGGGGCTGCTGAAGGTATGGAGGCACATACTGCCATCCAGTCTGGATTCTAACACAACAAACTGTGATCTTTCTGCAAATTGTCTTGAGTCCTGCCCACAAAAGTGCAGGGCAGCTCTCTGAGGCCCTATGTGCTCCACAAGTACATAACTACTTGTTTATGTACAGGTACGTCCTCCTGCCCATTCATGCTCAGGAAGCATCTATCCCTCCCCAACACTGGGCAGGGCTCTGAGATCAGCTAAAGGCCCCAAGCCTGTGGGTGTTGTACCAGCCCAGCCCAGTCTTGCACAGTCACCCTCTATTCAGTGGGAGCTCCCTGCTAGAAGAAAGCCTGCACCAGGAGCACCTGGTGGAAGGTGTTTTCACCATCATCTCAGCAACACTGCCTGATACTCACTTGTCCTTGGGAGTCAGCCTCTATCTTCTATCCAAGCAGAGACAGGATCCTGGCATTCAGTTATGATGAGAACAGGCTTCCAGAGGGTGGCAAGACTTGTCCACCACAAAGCTCTCCCAAGAAACCCCCATCTCCTGCCCAAACTCCACCAGGCCTCAGCATTCGGATCCTCCACAGATTCCCTGGTAAGTTCCCAAGGAGTCAGATGAGCTCCCTTCCTCTCTAAGGGTCTAGGGTTCAAGCACCCTAAATCCTCTTTTCCTGTCTTATGTCTGGGCTTCTACGGAGCTGTTTGGTTTGGCAAAGGGAAAATGCTTTGGGGTACTTACTAAACCATATCCCAAACTAAATCTAGTAGGACAAATCCTGGTCCAATTCCTGTGTGGCAACCAGCAATCTCTTATAGGGTTCACACTGCAATAGCTAAGGCCTGTCTGTGAGTGTTTGCAACCAGATGCTTATTACCCTCAGAAGTGACTAATGCATGACATGTGACAGATGACCACATTGCCCACTGACCCTGGCTGTTATATTACACTTCTTTGGGGTTTGAAAGCATTTCAAAGGAGCCACCAGACAGGTCCATAAGCTAACTAGCTCCCGTAGTGAGGGGATAATAAATATCTCTCATCAACTGCAGGTTTACCCCTCAGTGAAACAGTGTCTAAACTGTCCCTCTCCCAACTGTAACAACCTTAATCCCCATTTTTCCCACCTGTTCTATGGCACTAATAGTAGCAGTCCTTCATTTCAAGGAACTACTCATGGTAACAATATTGTACTTCTGCAGTGTGGCTGGAATTGCCAGTCCCTATCCCCATCCCAGACATTCCCATTTCTTTGCTCTTTAACACCATTAGGCCACTTACCCACAGGTGTCTCCAAATCCCCTTGAAGGAGGATGGGCTCTTTCTTCTAGTAACACTCCAGCAGAGAGGACTGAAAAGCCCCAAACCCAGAAATAGACTAAATGATGGTCCCGTAGCCCAAGAACAATCCCCACCTTCCAAGATGTCATCCTGCCATCCTGATTTTTCTTGCCTAGGTTGCGAGATTCTGTCCAGAGAAAACAGATTTAAAGGATTATGCCCTCCCCAATGCCAGCTGGTGTCCAGATATGCTGAGTCTGTACCAAGAATTTCTGGAGAAAACCAAGTCAGGCAGGTGGATTAAACTGCCCTCCTTCAAGTCCAACAGAGAACATATCCAGGGACTTAAGCTCCCATCTGGGCTGGTAACTGCCTCAGGTAAGACCAAGTCTGAAAGGGTCCAGAAGAACACACACACATAAACTCCCCTCACACACACACACATACACCTATACATACACATACCTTCACCCACAACACATACACACACATACCCTTCCACTACTACCACACACACCACTACCCACAGTGAGGGCCCCTGCCTGAAACCCTAGATCAGTTCAGACTGCTGCCATTCAGGAAGGCTAGCCATGGTGGCACAAATTCCAGCACTCAGAAGGCAGAAGCAGGTGAATGTGAGAGTTCCATTCCAGGCCAGTGTGGTCTGCAAAGCCATTCAGGACTACATAGGAACAACTTTTCTCCAAAGGGAAGAGTATGAATATTATCAAAATAAATTGTATTAATTTCCCCAAGAGTTAATTCAATAAAAAGCATTAAGACATCCAGGAAGGAAATTTGTGAGCACCACACACTGAAGGCTCTTCCTGCTGTCTACTACTCTCTCTTCTGCAGACCAGCCATGGATGGGAAGTATGTCTGCACTGGTATCTCTGCCTGGCTCCTTTACTTCGCTGTGAAGGGGATCACACACAAGTGGTACCTTTGCTCCCGGCTGGAGGGCTGCCAGTACAGGGCCCTGCTCTTTCTGGCTTCTCACCAATGGCTCATCCCTCAGCTAAGCTTTGTCCCCACCCTTCCTTCCCAGTCTTGAAAAAAAAAAAAAAAACTTTGGGCCTCCCTTACCTACTGCAGGCCTCGACATGCCACCTTTGCTCTGGTGAGGCAGCACTCTGAAATGTGCAATGAATTTGATTGTCAAAGCAGCCACCTTTATCTTGTCCCACCGTGTGTGTGCGTGTGTGTGTGTGTGTGTGTGTGTGTGTGTGTGTGTGTATCTCTGTATTTTCTTTTTCATTCATACATATGGTTGCTTTGCAATGATGAATGGATGACATAACTAGTAGGTGACCTTTGGATTCATGGTATAGGCCAAGCAGAGTCACAAGACAGGCATGGTGGTATATACCATCAGTACCTGGAGAGGCAGGTAGATCTGATGAGTTCAAAACCAGCCTGGTCTACAGGGTGAGTTCCAAGGCATCCAGGGCTACACAAAAATGTCCTGTCTTGGGGGGGGCGGTTATTTCCACGCTGAGGATATGGCTCAGTTGGTAGAATACTTGCTAGTCCTATACTTTATGAACTTTGTACCCCTAGGACACAGGCTTTCTGAAGACAAGGGTTAAGGATCATATTTTCTTCCCTTCTCCCTTGTAGAAAGGCTCCCTAACAACAGAGATAGGGTTTCTGGTTCTCTCCTCTTGTTCCTGTTAAGCTCATGATGCTGTATCCTGACAGGTCCCCTGAAGTATCTCTGCTTCAAAACTGTCATCTCTCCCCAGACAAACAGGACTGGCGCATCTTTACCAGATGCATCCTACTGGAAGGACAAGGCTATGAATATGTCATCTTTTTCCATCCATCTGAGAAGAAGTCAGTCTGTCTTTTCCAGCCAGGCCCCTACCTGGAAGGGGCACCAGGGTAAGGCCTCAGACAGGCCAGGGTGGATTCCTCGAAGGCTTGGCTCAGCGGAGTGGGTCCAGCACCCACCAGGCCGCACAGTCTCTAAAGACCTAAAACAGGGTACAAGGAACTGGGTTTCATCTTCTCCATGCCAGGCCTGTGAGGACAATTTGAGTTAGCTTCTCCAGGCTCCACTGTGCATGTATGAAGAACCCCCTTCCTGAAGTCTCAGAATGTTCCAGAAATAAAAGTCCTGAGAAAGCAAGGATCCTTTCCCTTCTGAAGAAGAAATCCCAAGGAAACAGGGTGGAGAGAAGTGTGCATGCATTTCATTCAGGGGTGTGTGCACCTATAAAAAGGGGAGGAGCAGATGATCTAACACTAAAGCCAGTCAGTGGACTGAGAGTCCCAGGCAATGCAAGTGAGCAGGAACTGCCCACTGGCTAAGAACTGCTCTGCAGAATAAGCATTTTGCTGGTGAATCCTCTGTCTGATCAGAGAACACAGAGAGGCAAGGGCAGGTCTTGGCACCAATTCATTTTCTCTTCACAGCAATGGAGGCAAATGCCAGAAGTCTGCATGAGATTTGGGGCACTTAATCAGTGAGTTCTTTTTATTCAAATACCTGGTGAGAATATGAAGGCTCAGAATGGTTCAGCAAGGTGTTCAAGAACACAGAGGTAGTGAGTGGCAGAACCAGGACTCCAGCCAGGTGGTGTGATGTCACTAAAGCAGGAAGGGAGGGCCTGAGGATCCCACTGCAGCCTTGGCAGAACAGCAAGACCAGCTAGCCTGGGTCCATGATGGATTGTGCTTACTTTCAAAGCCCAGGTCTGTTTTGGGTCATTTGCATATTCTCTCAGGGTGCCTAGATAGTCTTCCCTAGCTTAACCAACAGTGACAAAGCCTTGTCATGAAGGTCAGTTTGCATAAATGACAATGAAGGTTTCACACACTTGAAGTGACCAAATGACTTCACTATCACACTGAAGAAATAGACTCTGATGTTTTCCAGACAGTGCTGCTCAGAAGCCTACCTTGTTAGCCCTTTAATCAGTCATAAGTTAATTAACCTGCCCTGAAACTGTGGGTCCAACATCAGCTAAGTGACTGACAGGGTGAGAGATGGCCCACACTGGTGTTTCAAAGACCAAAACAAGCTAATCATGGTTGTTCACACCTACAATCCCAGCTCAGGAGACTGAGGCAGGATTGCCATGAGTTCAAGTCTAGACTGGGCTTCAGTGAGATCATGTCTCAAAAAAGCAAAACAACAAAAGACTAAGTCTTTTCCACTCTAAGGGAAAACCACACTAGGGGTTTTTTCTACTCCTTTCAATGTATGCATCCTTCTAAAACGTGGCGACTGCAGCCAGCAATTAGGTGATGAATCAGAAAAAAAGGTCTCTATTAATTTTGTGAAGAAAAAAAAATGTTCTTTTGGTGCAATGGTAGCAGTGGTTAACACATGCTGAAGCAAAAAGGAGGGAAGTTGGGTTTCTTTTGAACTACTGAAGCTCATGGGGTATACTTTCCTGTTTGGCTGCCTAAGATGGCAGATCCATGTCTGGGGGACTCAAGGAAAGAGAAAAGCTTGGGAGGTTTGCTACCTCCCAAGGTATTGAAAAGCAGCCCAGGAAAGGGGTCAATCTAAACAGCCCTAGCCCTAGTCTTACTTCCCCTCCTGATTTCCAGGTTTGCCCATGGAGGGTCACTGGCAGCCATGATGGATGAGACATTTTCTAAAACTGCCTATCTGGCTGGAGAAGGACTGTTCACGCTAAGTCTCAACATCAGGTTTAAAAAGTAAGTGTGGCCGAGTGTTGATGGTATACACCTTTAATTCCAGCACTTGGGAAGCAGAGGCAGGCAGATCTCTGTGAGTTCGAGGCCAGCATGGTCTAAGCAGCTAGTTCCAGTACAGCCAAGGCTACACAGGAAAACCCTGTCTTGAATAAACAAAAAGAAAAGAAAAAGAAAAAGTGTGAATCCTTGGGCCAGGGCTCTATTTCATGAACCTCTGCCATTCAACACCAGGAATCAACAACAAACAGCCCCTGAACCTGAACCTAGGGCTGCATATGAGTCCTGAGGGCAGGGTGAGGTGAGAGAAGGGGAAGGCCAAAGTGGGGAGGTATGGAAATGAACTCAGTTGCCTCCTCTCCCACTCTCCCAGCTTGATCCCCGTGGGCTCTTTGGCTGTCCTGGACATTCAAGTAGAAAAGATTGAGGACCAGAAGCTTCACATGTCCTGCATCGCCCAGAGCAGAGACAAGCAAACAGTCTATGCCAAGTGCTCTGGTAAAGAAAAACACCCTCATCCTCAGGCTGGGCCTGCCACAACCCAACCCACAACAAAGGGAGAGGGGAAGCTAATGATCTAGTCCCAAGCTAGCCCTGTTAGGAGTGGGACTGGGTACCTGCTAGAGGCATGGATGGAGAGAAAGAGAACAAAACTGTTTTCCTAAGTGAGGTATATGCAACACACACCACAGAACAACTTCAGGTGATGGATAATGTGAGGCAAATGGTCCATGCCCTCAGCTGGCTCCTGCTCTCCTGGTCCTGGCTCCCGGCACTCACTTCTCTTTTCCTTGCAGGCGTTTTCCTTCAGATGCAGCTGGAAGAAGATCCACCCCAGTAGCAATGACTATGCCTTCAGCAGAGTGGACAGTGGTGATGACTCGGTCTGCCTGGGACTACCACATGACAGAGAAAGGTCCCCAGGAATCAGGTGGTAGATGAGGGAGTAGGCATTTTTACCAATCTATAATCAGCCCCAAACCTTCTGTAGCTGGAAACAAAATTGTCCATGGGTCAGAGATGGCTCAGTAATTAAGAACACTGACTGTTGATTCCCAGCACCAACACGGTGACTCACAACCATCTGTTGACTCCTGTCCCAGGGGATCCATGTGCTCTTCTTGCCTCCACAGAGTACCAGGCATGCAAACGGTACCTTACATGTAGACCAGACACCCATACAAATAAAATAAACTTTTTAAAAGTTTTTTAAGTTGAATATTTTTTTCTTTTACTCTTCCAATGCCCATCTCCCACCAGCACCAAGAGGGGACATAAAGCTCCTGCCACGTGCCAGGCACCAAATGAGATCTCTGGTCCCCTGCATGCAAGTCAGGGTCACTGGCCTGGAGATGTAGCACAGAGAACCGTATCAGGATCATCTTACTCTTCCCTGGTTCCCGTCAGAAGAGAAGTGTCTGCTGAAAAAGGGACCAAATCCATTTAACTCTATGATCAAGGAGAAAATCTAGAGGAAGCTTTGCCTAAACTGAATTAAACTCAAAAGTTTAAGTAGTGTGAGCTGGGTGGTGGTGACACATGCCTATAACCCCAGCACAGGCAGACAGATCTCTGTGAGTTTGAGACCAGCCTGATCTACAAGAGCTAGTTCCAGAACAGTCTCCAAAGCCACAGAGAAACTCTGTCTGGAAAAAAAAAAGCCAAAACCAAGCCCAAAAAAAAAAAGTTAAGTAATGTGGTGACACCTGGCTATAATCTCAGCATTAGGGAGGGTGAAGTGGGGGGGGGGGACCCTGAGTTCTGGGCTGGGGAGGTGGTTCCATGGGTAAAGCGCTTGTATGAGGACTTGAGTTTAGATCCTCAGAACATGTGGGGAGAAATGAGAGTGGCAAGAATGATCCTGACTCCAGCTGGGATGAGGATGAAGACAGGCATGACCTGGGGCTTGCTGGCCGGCCAGTCTAGCCTAAATAGTGAGCTGCAGGTTTAGTCAGACTTTCTCAAAACCAAGGTAGACAATGATGGAAGAAGAGCCCTCCTCCAGGGTTGCTCCCTAGCCTCCACACGTACACACTTGTGCACAGAGAGAAAGAAAGACAGACAGTTGGTGGGCTGGGAACATAGCACAGTGGTAGGATGTTGGTCTAACATAAACAAGACCTGGGTTCCAGGACCTGCACTGCAAAAAAGATTTAAGTGGGACCAGCTGGTGGTAGGGAAGGTGAAGCAGGGGGAAATGTAAGAACACGGGCACAGTGGGGTAAAAGAGCCCAGGGGATTTCAAGAACCCCAAAGGACTAAATGGCAAGAGACTGGGAAAAGAGACCGCAGCAGGGCAGGTGCAGACACTGAAGGCTTCAGAATCCTCACCCTGGAGACTGAACTTTGCCTTGTACACAACAGGAGCCTTAAAGGATCTGGTGGAGGAGGGGTATCATTAATATTCTGTTTTTATAAAGGCGACTCTGGAAAAAGTCAAGAAGACCAAAGGCAGAGCATTGATTGGCTGGGAGACCCCTGCAAGGCTCTGAACTGAAGACGGTGGGGCTGCACAGGTCAGACTCACAGATAGGAGAGCTTTGGGGAATAAAAGACATTCAGGACTAACACAAGCATCCGTATGGCTGCTCACAAGTACATCCCCAGTTCCAGGGGATCTGATACCTCTTTTCTGGCCTTTATGGGCACTAGGCATAAAAATGGTGCACTGACATACATGTATGAAAACATAAAATGTCTTTAAAAAAACAAAGATAAAGAAATAGAGGGAGGGGAGAAAAGAGGGAATGATATAATTGTATTTTAAATTTAAAAAGAAAAGAAAAATAGAAAAGGGTTTCATGGGTACACTGATAGTAGTAGCCCCTGCCTCTGTTCAGAGAAGTCAGTAGGAAGTCTATGCTCAAGATCTTAGACTAGCAAGTGGTGAAGGATTTGGTTTCAAACCTGTTCTGGGGTTCCAGGATCTGGGGTTTGGATTGGTAACTCAGGAAATCAGAGAGAATAAAACCTTTTGCAGGGGCAACATGGAGTTATGCTCATGAGCAACAGTGGTGAGGAAGATGGATCTTTCCTTCTAAGCAGTCAGTCTCAAATGATGGCCAAAGGATAGGTAGACACAAATTTGAAGGCCTTGACCCAATGCCTCCCAAAAGCTGGAGACAGATGTTTTATGATGGTCAACACAGTCCCCACACATACACTTCTATTTAAAACTTTTCTCCTTTCTGCTTTCATGATTTCCCTTAGTATTCTGTTAAACACGGTGTCTAAATACATTTAAAAATATGTTTTCCTCATTTCATGATCAAGGTTAGTCCATTATTCATCCAAACACTCTCAGAAGAAGTGGGGGGACATATATATTTCATCCCTCTTAAGCCGTTTTTTAACTAAAAATAAATAAGGGATAGAGATAGTTATGTTTGAGTGCCATATTCAATAGGTTGGTTGTAGCTGGGTGTTGGTGGTGTATACCATTAGTCCCAGCACTCAGGAGGCAGAGGCAAGCAGATCTCTGTGAGTTCTAGGCCAGCCTGGTCTACAAAGCTAGTTCCAGGACAGGCTCCAAAGCAGTACAGAGAAACCATGTCTCAGAAAGAAAAAAAAAAAGAAAAAGAAAAAACGTTGGTTGCATCCTGGCACTTTGTTATACTGTGGAAATCTACGGAGTTGGGAGCCTTTCAGGTACAGTTTCATGTCCAGGCACACACAGGGGTCAGCAGGAAGTACACTATTTGAGAAGGATTAGGAGGAATGTCCTTGTTGGAATAGACATGGTTTTCTTAGAGGAAGTGTGTCACTGGGTGTGGGATTTGAGACTCCAAAAGCCCAAGCCAAGCCCGGTTCCCTCTCTTGGTCTGTGGATCAGGATGTAGCCTCAGCTACTGCTCCAGTGCCATTCATGTCATCATGATGATAATGAACTAAACCTCTAAAACTCTAAGCAAGTACCTATTTAAATGCTTTCTTTTATAAGCATTGCCTTGGTCGTGGTGTCTCTTCACAGCAATGGAACAGTGACTAAGACAGCCATCCAGGCAAAAGTGTCAACTTATTCTCCTTGAAACAAAGGATAAGTGTTCCTAGATGCCTAAATCCTGAACAAAAAGAAACCAAAAAGTTAGTAGCCACTGTCTTAGTTAGGGTTTCTATTGTTGTGAAGAGACACCATGACCATGGAAACTCTTATAAAGGAAAACATTTAACTGGGTGGCTTACAATTTAGAGGTTCAGTCCACTATCATCATGGTGAGACATGGCAGTGTGTATACAGACAATGTGCCACAGAAGTAGCTGAGAATTCTACATCTTGTGCAGGCAACAGGAAGTAAACCATATGGCTTGGGCATATATGAGACCTCAAAACCCACCTCCACTTGAAGGAAGTGACACACTTCCTCCAGCTATTCCAACAAAGCCACACCTCCTAAGAGTGCCTCTCCCTTTGGGGGGCCATTTCCTTTCAAACCACTGCATCATTGCACACAACATCTATCTATCCAAGAAAGCAAGAGGCTTCATACCAGCTTCTAAAGAAAGAGACTTCCTGGAACTAAGACTGCTGAGCTAGGCCAACAATTAAAGGTCCTGAGTGATAAGCCAGACTGTAAGACATAGTCTGTCATCAGTGAGCATTAGCAGCCAATTCATACTGCCTGAGGACACCACACAAGCCCTCACTAAATGGAGCAATACCCAAAAGCAGTGTTTTGTTTAGTCTTGTTTTGTTACAGGAGCCTTGTAGCATTTGCCTGCTGACCTAGAAACAAAGACCTGCCCTGCTCTGCATCTCTCTCATCTGGCCTGGACCCAGGAAAGCACTCTGCACTGGCTCACTCCTCTGAGTATTCTACAGCGGCACCAGCAAGAGCAAGAAAATCAGGACACCTAAGAAGTCTCTATGGTTTGAATATGCCTTCTCTCCTCTAAAACTCTTGTTGAAACTTGATGCCATTAGATGGGTGCTGGGAAGTAAGGTTTTTAAGAGATAATTAGGCCTTTAGGAGAGTTGTTTTTTTATTGCATGACATTATTACTCTCTCTGTGTGTGTGTGTGTGTGTGTGTGTGTGTGTGTGTGTGTGTGTCTGCGTGCGCACATGCGCGAGTGCGCGTGCATATGTAAAATCTGCAGGAGTCAGTTCTCTTTCTCACCTTCTCACCACCGTGTGGGTCCCAGGTAAAGGAAACCCCCAAAACCAGGACTATAAAGCAGGCCCAAGACTCCAAGAAATCTGCTACCCATGGAAGTTTCAGAAAGTGTTACAATAAAGTTCATGAGTGGCCTTGGCAGATTCCATGACAGGTGAGGGTGACCAAGGCAGGGCACAAACATGCCAGGCAGACAGCGCTTAAGTGAGTCTTATTAGAAAGGGAAAGCAGGGTGAGGGTGGGGTGTAAAGAGACACAGAGAGAGGACAGAAGAGAAGAGAACACAGGACTTTTCTTGTCTGTCCCAGGGGAACAGCAGCAAAGAGGAAAAAGAGAGCGTTCGTGTGGGGACAGAGGGATGTTGTCTGTCTTTTAAAATGGGGTCCTTTGCATCTGCGTGCAGACTGTGCAACCACTGAACCATGGGCTGACCCGGGTACTGCCTGAGTGAATTCTGCTGGGTGACAGGGGCAGGCCAGCATAATGCTTGAATCCTTACAAACAGCCCTGGAACCAGAAGGTTGCAAAAATGGGCAATTTCTGTCTGTCTGTCTGTCTGTCTGTCTCTCTCTCTCTCTCATTCTGTAGGGTTTTTAGGGTTTTTTGTTTTGTTTTGGGGGGTTTTTTGGGGTGTTTTTTTGGGGGGGCGGGGAGGGGTCTCAGGAAAAAAAAGGTGGTTTTTCCAGAAAAGCAGTTTCTGGATCTGGCCATGCCCCACCCTCTCCCTATTCTCAACTTCAAACACTGTAAGGTTTCAGGGGCAGGGTGCTGCCTCTTAGACCTGTAAATCTACCCTC